CACGCACGGTTACACTTTCAATGGTAATTTGAAAAGAGAACAAATGGGCACTTTGTTTTGTTTTTATTTTATTGGTCTCGTTTCTAATGGGGATGATGACAGGGTATGAAAATTAAAAATATAATTAGTCCGTAACTTAGGTAATAAAAAAATATTAGACACGTATTTTTTTATTTTGTTGTATAATAAAACAATACTTAGATAAAACGAATCAAAGTTTAGGAGTGGGGGCTAAAACGTCATTTCTTAGTATAAAATGTACTGAGAAGTGACGTCACGCGACATTTCAAATCAATATATCTTCGAAACTATTCGTTTCCGTAAGAAAATAAAAAATACGTGTCTAATGTTTTGAAATAATCTACCAGACGGACATTAAAATAAAAATTAGTCGTCTACCCCATTGTATTTGTTTTTCGTTTTTAACACGTTAAACGCCATGGGGGTCACCGGTGACCGGCGTTAGCGGAGGATTTACCTTCAACAGTTTTTTATTGGCAGTTAAAGTCTTAATTTTGAAGTGTTATTTATTTTAAAGTTAAATATTATATTTTATAGTTAATTTACAAAAATAAACTTCAAACTCCCTTTAGTTAAAGGTGTTGTCAGTCAATTAGTACAATTTTGTATTAATGTAAATACAACATCACGCCTTCTATCCCTGGTGGGGCAGGCAGAGGTGCACATTACGGCGCTTATTGCTACTGTACAATGTAACACCCAATTTTTATTATTTATGTTATGATTCCCATGTAATAGGGAGTGAGCCTATTGCCACATGCCGGGCACAAATCCAGACTCCGTGCTGCAACTGAGATTTTCGATTCCCGAATCGAATCCGAGACCCCTTGCCCAGCAGTCACACCTGCGACCACTAGACCAACGAAGCAATCAATTTTGTATTAATATAATATGTATATGTATTCCTTATGTAGAAATACCCTTTTTACGTAGAGAATGCTCATGGTCCAGTGTGGACTGTCATGGGCTGCGGATCACGTAATTATTGCTAATTGTGCGACAACAAACGAACCAGAATATATCATCACAATCTGGCGTAAAACCGCATCTGTCATCATTTATGTCAAGCTGTAAAATGACAACGATGACAGTGTCATTTATGAATAAATTATTTGTAATTATATTTTATTGCATGCTGTTGTTTATTTCATGAACATGTTTAATGTTAGGCAAAGATAGAACACTCTTTTATTCACTTAATTAGGCTACAATATTAAGGTAAAACTGTTATTTAAACGAAACAATTATTTACTTTTAAGTAAAAGGACAGCTATATAAGTAGGTAGGTCAGCTATAAGTATGTCTTACTGAGCCACCTCGCCAAATGTATCACCAAACTCTTCCAAGAGTGACGTCATCGTATTCTTTCCTAAAAGTATCGCGTCATAGCTCCCACATGTATGACATGACTTCGCACTAAGTAGCGTCACTGTGTTCCCTTAGTCATTTGGAACACTTATACTCCTCATTTTCAACCCCCTCTTCCTACTCCCGTGGGGGATATTACCTTTTATCAGAGGCTCCATCTGCCTTTATGATAAATACTATAGTCATCTTTCTTGGAATCGGCAACTAAATTGTAGCACGTAGGCTTGTCTCGTAGGCCGTCTACGTGCTACGCGCTACGGACTACGAGTCTACGCCGTAGTAAGGTTTGCTACAGTTGTAGAATATTGATGCTTCGATGTTTTTTGTTTTTTATGACGTAGTTTTTCATGTTATAGGCAGGATTAGTCCTGTGTCCTGATGTTTAGTATATTAATATTAAAGTACGTTGAATATATACAACTCCCATACATCTGAAACTAAGCTGTCATAGTTTTCAGTGCCTAGTACCAAATGTGTTGTTCTTTCTTGTAGTATTGATTAAAATACCTGTTATAATAATAATATTTGTTGCTATTGGCTTTGATATGTCGGTGAAAAAGAAAATATTTCGCTAAAAATTTATTACCAACAGATGTTAGCCCAAATGAATTTATTTATTAAAACTCTTGTTTACAAACTAAGGCATATATATTTTATCAATTTGTATGAAATTCATTGATTGATATGTTTTGGTTTTCGATACAGGTAATGTATTACTTTATTTGTACTGATATTTTCTTTTCACATAGTGCGGACATAAATTGTACATCGCATACATATACTAAGACTATGATGATTGTATATTTACCATCACGTAATATCGTTAATCTAAGTACTTCCTAAAAGATAGGGATCGTCTTTTATATTGATAAACCTGAAACCTCAAACTATGCACTCATCCTCCCCTATAAAAATACCAATAAAATTTTGTTTTATTATAAATATAACATCACGCCTTCTATCCCCGGAGGGGTAGGTAGAGTTGCACATTACGGCATTTAATGTTACTATACAATGTAACACTTATTTTTCACTATTATTTATGTTATGGGTCCCATATAATAGGGGGTGAGCCTATTTGCCATATACCGGATACAAATCGGTACTACTACTGAATTTTTTTTTAAACCCAGTAGTACTTTATCCGACCCGGGAATTGAACCCGAGAGGCATTTTTCTGGCAGTCGCACTTGCGTCCTCAAAATTATAATAATTTCTTTATAACCTCATGGCTTTGGGAATTATTCGTCAATAACGTTTGTCATCGACTCCATCGATCATAATAATAATTTTACCATAATGATTGATGGGCCAACGCTGACTTAGTGTTACAACGTTTATTTCTTTTTTTTTGTTTATATAAATGTTTGATATATTCTGTAATGTAGCGATGGTTATGAGAAAAGAGGTAGGCAGTAATGTGATTTATCAGTATCCACCATTGATTTATTCTTAAACTTCTGTTCATGGATAAAAATACTCATTAGATAAAAAGCAGAATAGGGATGAAAAGATTAAGATATTTGAATTAACTTTTGATGTGTGATGTTCCTTCTTTATCTAAGAAGCGACCTTTGCTCAGCAATTTGCATTTATAGGTTGATATGATGCGAGATTATTTATGTACTTACCAAATGGATTTATGAATAATTGTGTGTACCTATAACGTTTAATCCTTACAATGGTAGATTTTTCATTAGTTTTGTTATAAGTACTATGTAATGGTCAGTCATATCGCAATAGGGAGATGCCTAATATTTAATTTAATGTCTGTCTGGTAGATTGTTGTAAATCATTAGGCACGTATTTTTATTTTCTTACAGAAACGAATACTTTCGACGATATATTGATTTGAAATGTCACGTGACGTCACTTCTATTGTACATTTTATACGTAGAAATGACGTTTTAGCCCCCACTCCTAAACTTTGATACGTTTTATCTAAGTATTGTTTTATTATACGACAAAATAAAAAAATACGTGTCTAATATTTTTTCATTACCTAACTTACGGACTAATTAGATTTGTAATTTTCATACCCTGTCATCAACCCAATTCTTGAAAAATATCTAAGAATACCCAATATTACTTTGTCTAAGCCGGGAACCAAGACCTATTGCTCGACTCTCCCATTTTCGATTACTCAACCATCGGTCTATGTTCTATTTAATGTAAAAAAACTTCGTTTGGTCCTTTAAGCCATCAAAAAATAATTAAATATTTATATAAAACTCTAAAATTAAACACAACTTTTATATTTAACCCTGTCCATGACACCTAAAATACCTAGCTGACCTGATTAGCTTAATCCAGATATAAATTAGCTAAAGATAGCTCAATATATTTCAAATTGGTATATGACCCTATTTGGCCCAGATATAGTTATTTCCGACTCGATCTGGCTCCGGAACTAATTCTGGATTCGCTTACGTCATGCTTTTCGTTTTGTTTTGATATCAGTTTTTGTTTCTCTGAATAATATTGTTGTTTGTCCTATAAGTGGTTGCTATGTAATTTTTTCAAAGATATAGTTTTTATGCAGAAGTGACCATTTTTATCTTAATGATCTTCCAAATGGCCGATGTTTCCAACGCCAGATAAATTTGAACTGAAGAATAACTTTGAATATTGGACAATTCTTCCATACTAAAGATTGTTAATCGACAATTTTATTTTACAATAAAGCATTAACTAATGATTGTAAAATAGGTTTTTATTTATAGAATAACACATATGTACATGCCACTTGTTTTTTAGTGTGAAATAAAGTTTTTTCTTTCTTTACAGACTAAATAGTTTTTTTTCATATAACAATGAACAGAATATAAGAGTAAAAGATCAGTGTTCTTCATATTCCCTTAACTAAGATTAGCTCCACCACATTCACTATAATCTGTTGAATACACAATCATAAGCAAGAGTGAAAAAAATATTTTCACAAAATCATATTTATAACTTTGTATGTACATGAATGTAAAATTTTAAATAAAGTGCCAATTTGAACCTCATATTTAAACAAAGTATTCTATAATCGTCTACATCATTTGAATAAGTGATCATGTTGACCCTTATGCCTAAATAATGCCCTCTCAGTGTGCTTAAATACACTCCGGACTTTAATATTTAAACGTCAGGCTGAACCCGCGTAGCGCCGTAGCGGGGCGGAGACAAAGGCCTACTGCTTACTAGAAACGCTAGCGTACTACGCTACGCCGACTAACACTCTCCTTTTCTAACGTAGTACATTCTACTCGGTTGCTAAAACAAGTGTAAAAGAGATAGCGTAACCGTGTCATCCCTATTTGTAATGCCTCATCCATGGTTGTGTATGTCAGCGTTGTACACCTGCGTTGCCGAGACTGCTCGGCGCCTCGCCCGCCTAGACTTCGTCAGTCGCGCTTTCGGCGCTGCGACGTGCACACGTTCAACCTATATGTCAGTCGCAACGAAAAATAGTGCGATATAAAATTCTAAAAATCATTAATGAAAATCTATTTTAAACTTTCTATTTCGCAATAAATTATGCCTTAAAAGTGATCTTCGTGCGTACTATGCCTTGCTTGTAAGTTTTAGTGTCTTAGTGTGTGTTTCTTCGTAAATTTGACCTGGTTTTTATTTTGATAACTCTTGCACAATTTTGCTGTGCTGTCCTGATCACCTGGATTTGCAACGTAAGTACTAATATTATTATTTCGTCTGAATTCTTACTGTCACATGGCAGACAAAATTTTGCCTTGTTTCATTCATGTTTACGATTAATTTCGCGTGCGTACCGGAGGACCGATTGTTGTTTTTAGTTTGTGTTATTAATTGCTAATTGGTGAAATTACTCGTTCTCTTTCAAGTATTATTTTCATGTATGTATGAAAATAAAAATATTAATTTTATCTTAAAGATAACTTTTAATTTTAAAAACAAACAATTATTTTATAAAAATAAATATTACCATAATTTTTATGTAAACTCTACGATGAACATACATTAATAATTGAAGAAATAACTATGTCATTCTTACATTTTTATGTCATAAAATTATTACTCTATTTTTATAATGGATCTCATAATTTTACTTAGTTTGCCCGATAATCATAACATACATATATATGAATACCCCAGGTACCGTTTCTATCTATAGTATATTTACCCTCTACTGTATGCGGTAGAAAAATAAAATAAAACTAGTATTTTAATGTTAACAAACGTTACCGAGTATTCTCATTCGTTCCTCTTTATGTTCGGACAGAAACAAAAGAAGCATATAAAAGCTCTCTTGTATTAAAAACGCAAGACAATAGTTCTGTGAAGATTTTCTACGTCTAGTATTCAAGAAAATTATTTTTCATTTTCTATTTTGTATTAGTATTCATATTATAAATATTTTCTAGCAATGGTGCATTGTCCAGTAAGTGTTCGTTGTTATTTCCCGTAATCATATTCGTTTATATAGGCGATTGTCTTGTTGGTTGAGTGGTCTCAAAGGCCTGCAACAGCCGCTAGGTCTCGCGTTGACACTGCGGCCAGATAATTTATTATTGACTTGATGGCACAGTTGACGTGGTAGCTGGGTAACTGGCTGCCAAGTAACGTGTAGCGGGTCCGATTCTCGCTCGGGTTACATCCCAAATATGGGACAACGTATTGGGTTAAAACAACATATCGATTTTAATAATACATACATAACTTCACGCCTGCCTCCCATGGTGGTATGCAGAGACTAAGGAACGCCAATTACTACGATTCTTACATACCTCTTTCGCTTCATTAACAGTCATCAATCTTTTCATGCATGCTCGTTGGTTAAGGGTATTTTTAATTTGGCCCTTCTTTAATATATCGCCAATCTGGTCACTATATGTCCGTCTAGGCTTTAATAAATTATTTTGAAATGTAAATTGGCACGCCAATTAAATTGTAATGTATAAGGAACCTTAAAACTTTGTAACACCTAAGAATTGGTACTTATATTCATTGCAAATAAATAAACCTATTCTATTTTATATCTACTAAAAATGTATGTTTTGTCATTTTTCACAATGTGACGTTACGTTATAGTTTTGATTTTTATATCTCGTATCTTTGCTTGTGTTTTACACATAATTATCTATACCTACTAAAGTAAAAGAAACTTATTTCCTTTATTTTGTATAATATTACACAGAGCCACTACTGAGAATTTTAATGCATAACGTAATATGGAACTCGTTTGTACAAAAACTAATTACTTGAGAAATGTAGATATCAAGCTACAAGTAAACCAACTGCAATTAATATTAACAAGGAATTAATTTATAGCAATCAAGCCTGGTTTATTCTTGCATTTACCGCGAAGTCGAATGAGTTCTATATACCTCTAGTCTATTAATGAGTTCAGTCAGATGTTATTATTTCTTATTAAAATATAATAATTTTGACTTATGTTTACATTATAACATTCGTGAGGCATACTAAATTAATTATCATGTTTTCGGCCCAGTCTCGTAACAGTTTGACGACGTATTCGACTAGTTTCAAGCCATGCTAGAGGCTCATATTCATATATTCATGAAACTAGTTGAGTTTCTCGTCAAACAGTTACGTGAGAAATTGAGAACATAATAATTCATTTTGACTTAAAAACCTTAAGCTAAAATGATAAATAAATGATACAAGTTTCCCTATTTCTCTCCCCTAAGACTCTAAATAACTTTCGGAAGAAACTTCCCAATTAATCATCTACGTTCTTTCCAAGTTTTCAAAGAGAATAAATATATGTTTTAATAGTCAAACAGCAGGTAAAATACGTATTTAATCAACAAAATTGACCTTCTAATAATTTATTTGACATAATAACTGTCTAATGCAAACAAACATGGCGTCATTTGAATTTGAAAATGGAATTCCAATATGGCCGTCTAACGTACTTACAATGACAGTACAGCAACGAATGACAGTTCAATTTAGATAATTCAATTCAATTTCTGAATTTGTGTTCAGAATTATTAAATGTAAATTATAATGGAAATAATTTGATTGTTTGGAACTTCAAGCAGTCCGTTCCGTAATTTGTTTGAAGTCTATATTCATTGTTTTACTAGATACGTTAGCCAATATTGTTTTATTAAAGTCATTAAAGTTCATCGTGTCCTTTTGAAGCTTCAGGCGACCGCTGACAAGCCGACGGGAACTATTTGAAGTTTTCAACTTACCTATATTATATTCATCTTGAATTTGTATTATTTGTATAGAAACTAGTAAACTTTACACCTACTATTGTGTCTCTCTGCATCACCCTAAGGTTGACTGTTAGAGAATGCTACGAGGCATTAAGTCCGCCATTGTATACCCATTGTGCAAGAAGCGTATATAAATAATAAAAATAAAATAGGAATATTAACCCAAACCTTAAATCGTTAATCTGTTGAGAAAGTGCGATGCTGAAATAATGCAGTACGCAGTGTATGATATGAAGAATTCCCCTAAAGCAACTCGATCGGATGAAAGGACGAAGTTGCGATTCACAGATTATTATAACATAACGTAACATCACGCCTTTTATCCCCGAAGGGGTAGGCAGAGGTGCACATTATGCCACTGTACTATGTAACACCCATTTTTCACTATTTATGTTATGTAATAGTCCCATGTAATAGGGGGTGAGCCTATTGCCATATACCGGGCACAATTCCAGACTCCGTGCTACTACTGAGATTTTTTTTTTAAAACCCAGTAATATTTTGCCCGACCCGGGAATCGAACCCGAGACCCCTTGCCCGACAGTCGCGCTTGCGACCACTCGGCCAACGAGACAGACTATTATATATACAATTTGTTATGAATGGTGTCAATGGCTCTTGGCGTCAGGATCTTGCAGACCAAATTTATTTGGACAATCATTGTAAATCCGGAAACTTCAATAACAGACGCCGATAAAATAAACCTTATTGCATTTAAATCGAAAATATTTAAGGAAATATTTTCAAAATATCATATCATTATATTCCCGTCCCTATGCGTACGTACGAACCTTTCAAAGACTTTGACATAGGTTTATTGGCACATTGATCCTTATGTATATTTGTTTACGAGAACACCCGAGTAGACCTTGGCCCCTAAAATCTTAAATTGAAGATCCCTTTAGGTGATATCCAAACATCAAACAGAGGTATTATGAAAGTGCTCTATGATCCAAGTTTGTAAATATAACTCGTAAAGAGTCGTGGAGTGATCAAGATAGATCATATGTTTTGAGTTTTTTTTTAAATAGTCTGCAAAGACTGCATAGCGGTAATGTTTTTTTTATTTATTTATTCAAACCATGCACTTACTGGCTTACAGTGGGTACCAAAACGCCAGTAAGCTAGTTAATTAAAATAAAAAAAATTACATAAAAATAATAAAAATAGAATACAATACAAATAAATAATGTCAAATTAATAAATGTCAAATAGTTGTAGTTTATACAATTTAGGAATCGTGTCTTAGAGTCATAGAGTCGTCAAAACTCAGATCATACAATTTTGAGATTTTTTTTTAATAGTCTGCCAAGTCTTCATAGCAGCAATGTTCTATACTATTTAAAGATCAAAATGATCTTTGTGGCACCCTTCCAGTTCCTACGGATGTTAGAAAAATCGACTAAGGACCTACATATCGTCGGAGATAGTGCAAATCCGCGAATCTACCACAAATAATGGCCGCGTATCTGCAATAGATCCAGTTTTATAGGAGAAGGTATACTTAATAAATGTTTAATTATTAATTAAATAATAACTTAATTTACTTTATTAGGACTGCCTCATTGACAGAGTTGTCGCAAGTGCGACTACCAGGCAAGGGGATTCGGGTTCGATTCTCGGGTCGGGCAAAGTATTACTGGGTTTTTTAAGAAAACTCAGTAGTAGCACGGAGTCTGGAATTGTGCCCGGTATATGGCAAAAAGCTCACGCCCTATTACATGGGACTCATAACATAAACAGTGAAAAGTGGATGTTACAATGTACAGTGGCATATTGTACACCTCTGCCTACCCCTTTGGGATAAAAGGCGTGATGTTGTGTTATTTCAATTCCAGTTAATACCTATAATATATTTATCCACAAAGATACAAAGGAAAACGTTATTTACGTGAACATTAATTATCAAATGAAACATAAACCATTACAGAGTAAGTTATACAAAATCAAACGTTCGCCTATTACGAGCGAGCGCAAAAACTCCTTTGATCTCCAACCTTTTAATATCATGATTAAATAACCTATAGCCTCGGAGGAATGGCGGTGTTTGTCTATAGAAGTATAATAACACTAGCTACTTCCCCGCCGGTTCACCCGCTCTGTTCGGCTCCTTTTGATTATAGCGTGATGTTTTATAGCCTATAGCCATCCTCGATAAATGGACTATCCAACATAGAAATATTTTTTCAAATTGGACCAGTAGTTCCTGAGATACGCGAGTTGAAACAGACAAACAAACTCTTCAACTTTTTATAATAGTATAAGATAATAGTATAACGTTATTTTATTATATTATTAAAGTATATAGCGTTATTTTATTTACAGGTAGATAAAATTGTAACTTGTAAGCCTCAGCCTAATGGGAAGTCTATTGGCACACATTGGGTACGATTTCAGATCTGTGCTAGAATTTAGAAAAAGCAAGTTTTTGTAGTCTGTCTTGCCACAGTATTTTTTTC